GGATATGGGAAGGGGAATAAGGGAAAAAGAAAAAAATATGAGAAAATGTAAAAATGGAGTTAAAGTGCTTGAAGGTTGGGAAGGGAGGAGGGGGTGAAGGGAGGGTGGGGACAAGGGGAAAATATGAGAACCAAGACCTGTCATGTAAAGGTACAAGATCTCAGGGTACAGTAACTGTACTGTCTACCTAGAATGTACCAATAAATTCAATTTAAATTTTTTTTAAAAAGTTAAAAAAAAAACCTCACATGGGGAAAGTTGTATAACTTACCAAATTCATGGAGATTAGATTTACAAAGCTGCATTTTCATTGCAAGCATCAGACAAAAATGGGCATATTTCAGGTAGTATATTATCAAATGCATATATAGATTTAACACAACCATTATTAAGACACAAAAATATTTTCATAGAACTAAAAAAAGTAATCGTAAAATTTATATGAAACCAGAAGAGACCCAAAAGCAAACATGATATAAAAGAGCAAAATGAGACATATCACAATCCCAATTTCAAGTTATTCTATGAAGATAAAGTCACAAAAACAGATGTGGGGAGAAAGGAAGGCTGCTGCATTGTTGGTAGGAGGGTAAACTAGTTTAATCACTACAGAGATTCCTCAAAAAACTAAATATAGAAACTGCATTTGACCCAGTTGCACCTCTCCTGAGTATATACACAAAAGAGTTAAAGTCGGCATGCTACAATGAAACATACATACCCATACTTATAGCACCACTATTAACAATAGCAAAGCTTTGAAAGCAGCTGAGATGCCCATCCATGGATGAATGGGTGAAGAAAATACGGTATATATACACAGCAAAATTTTATTCGGTCATGAAGAAAAATCAATTCAAGTTATTGGCAGAAAATGAATAGATCTTGAGATTACAATGTTACACGAAATAAGTAAGATTAATCAATTCAAGTTATTGGCAGAAAATGAATAGATCTTGAGATTACAATGTTACACGAAATAAGAGAGTAAGTCAAATATCACATGAGTTAAATAAAGGAGGTGCAGGGAGGGACTTCAGGGAGAATAAGAAGGGGATGAAGAGGGAAGGGAGATGGTAGTTAGGAGAGCTCCAAAATGATCAAGATTCAACTTATATATCTAGTAACTCTACAAAATTAACACAAACATTGTCTATCACAAAGACAACCCCAAACTAAACAAACACAAATAAATGCCAGCATCAGGCTCTAGAGTCTATCATATTAAGTAACATGCAATAATACCCCATTATCAAATCTAATGTAAATTGTCTGTGCATATGAAAAAACATCTATGATTTCTCAACCATTTTTTCTGAATTAATTATGAGCTTTCCTTCAGTATATCCTCAAGGATTAAAGAAATGGGACGGACCCATAGAGTATAATGTTATTCAGCTGCTAAAAGGGAACACAATACTGATCCATGCTACATGAATGAACTTTGAAAACATGCTGGGTGAAGGAAGTCAGATTTAAAAGGTCATGTATTTTATGATTGCACTGATATGCGATATCTTGAATAAGAAAATCCATAAGCAGAGAAAATGGATTTGGTTGCCAGTGTTTGATGGGAGGAGAATGAGTATATGCCAAAGGGTATGATATTTCTTTTAAAGATAATAGCAATGTTCTAGGATTACATAGTACTCCTGGTTGGTTATACAACCTTGTGAATGTATTAAAATTACCGAATTGCACATTTTAAAATGGCAAGAAGTGTAGCATATAAATTATATCTCAGTTTAGTGTTAAAAGGAATAATAAATACTGAAAATAAAAGGAAATTGAAATAAGAGCTGTAGTTTTTGAAGATACATGCCAAGAACCGAGAAATGCTACAAAAGTACTATCTCATTTAATTCCTACGACAACCTGGACAGGTAGGTATTATGATTAGCCCCATTACAGGCAAGCAGTAGGAGGCACACAGCTAGCTGAAAGGCTGGCCAGTGCCACTTGACAAGTGGCTGAGCAAGGAACGGAGGAAGTTCTGTCTGACTCCAGGGGCAGCACACTGGTTTGCAGCCTATCTGCTAGGATCACCTTCTTCTTACGCTGGTCTATTCACAAAATGTAAGAAAAATAAAAGCCAAAGTAGATGAGCCTAATAAATATTTAAAACATTCTGTGTTCATAGCTTCCTTACGGCTAGAAATTGAATGTTTCACACCTAGGTCATTCTCTACAATCACAGCAGAAAGTGACTGTGTAAAGGCTCACAGCAGAGTAAACAAGACAGGAGCTGTGAGGGAGGGACTTCAGAGTGTCTTCCTGGTGCCCCAGACAGAATTAACTACCTTAATGTTTCTCAAAATGCTAACATGTGTTGGGATGCACTGATATTCAAGGACTGCAAATCCGTGGGGATTGTGTAAATTCAAGTTTCATTAATAAGAGTCATGAAATTTGCCCTTTTTGGAGAATTTGTTATTTGTTAGCAAATACCCATTCCATACCCTATTCATAACAAACCCATTTAAGGATATACTTACTGATCCAATTTTAGGTCATGACATTGATGATAAGGCTAATGATTATTGGGCAATTACTGTGTTCTTCCCAATCCTCCATACACCTTACAAATATAATTTAGATAATCAAGTAGCCCTGCTAAGGATGATAAAGCATAGTGAATAGATTTCAAAGTTGAGATTTAAAAGAGAATTAGAACATTTGCAAAGTGACCTGAGTACTTCATATGTAACCCACACACAGATCAGGATATGGAACACAACCAACATCCCAGGAGAATCTCATGTCCTTTTTGGATTTCTTCCTTCCACCACCCAAAATAAATCACTCTCTTGCCAGGGATTTGGCTCAGTGGTTCTGCTGCCTGCCTCATGAGCCAAAGGTCCCACATTCAAACCCTGGTGGTGCAAAGTAAGTAAATAAATAAATAAACAAATAATAATTATTATTATCACTATCTTGACTTCTATCAGTATGTATTTATTTTGTGTTTTTGAACTTTGACAAATAATCATTATAGTGTAAGGCACTGCAGGTGTCTCACGTCCATACTCAGCTCTGTTGTCATTGTTAATATTATTATTTCGATTCTATGCTACTGTGTTCAGTAATGATTTGTTGGTGGCATCGCATAGGATCCCATTGTATTCATATAAATATTTCATCCATGTTATTGCTGATCTGCTACTACAATATCCTTTTGTGTGTCTTTTGGGTGTGCATAAAGGTAAGCATTTCAGGTAGATATTCCCAGGAGTGGAATTGCTGGATCAAAGACTACAAATATGATCAGCTTTAGCAAGTCCAGATACACAGTTTGTCAAAGCAGTGAAACTACAGACACTCTCAGCCATCACGCAGCAGGTAGGAAAGTTCCAACTTTTTTTATAAATTTAGGAATATTTTGTATTCTGCACTGTGTTTCATTTTTAGCTCCACCAGCACCTGTGTTGCCTATTTTGCCACTGCATTCACATTTGTGAAACATTTTACATTTATTATTACTTTACTCTCCATTCTACCCAAGATCTCCTCAAAGTATTTAGTAAATGGGATGCATGCTTGTTTCTGTTTTCAACATTTCAAAAAGCATAATTGTTTCAGTGGTTAGGGTCAGTAATATGGTGCTGTTGGTCTTGGGATCCAAATCCTTCAGATTTTGTACTTATGTCTAACCATATTTAAAGCAAGAGGGCTGCTGGTGTAGCTGGGTAGCAGAGTGTGTGTTTGCAAGGCCCTGGGTTTGACACCTCAAAGCACATGAAAAAGGAGGAAGGAAGGCAAGAAGAGAGGGAGGAAGAGGGAGAGTAAGATGGAAGGAGAATGTAAAGACACTTAAGTAATGTTTTTAAGTGCTTCTTGCTAAATTTGGGGGTATGTGACAGCCTTTCTGAAGCTCTGTCTTTAGTGTTTAAATGTGACATCGCAGTCACCTCCTGCTTCATCTTCTCTAAATATTTTCTCACCCCCTCCACTCTCGTCCATAATTCTTTTGCTTCATTTATATTGCTCTTTTGACTTAAATTCCTGTTCAGTCTTTGTGCATGAACCCTCTCTCTCCTCAAGGACACCTTAAGAACAGTACTTTCATGGGCTGGAGATCTAGCTCAGTAATGCCACTGCCTGCCTCGCAAGAGCAAAGTCCTGAGTTTGATAATATACTATAATGAGTTTGATAATATACTATAATGTAATATATATAATATAATATAATATAACATAATATAATATAACAAAAACGAACAGGGCTTTCTTAATTTCCACTGCTGTGGTTCAAACAGCACTAATCACATCTAAGCACAGCAGAAGATACCATGCTGCAATTACATTCTCCTGGGCTATACTCTGAACAGTCTTGTGCACTCATCTTTTGGGTGTACTTTGAAGATAAAATGGTGGGAAACCCCAGGAGATTTAAGTGGGTGAAACTTGAGGTCTGATTGCATCTGGGTGAGAATGGTTGTGTAATCATGGGTACCTCCCTCATCCTCTCCTTATTTTCGTCATCTGCAAAATGAGAAAGGTGATGCATACCTGCCTATACCTCAGGGTCAAAGTGGAGTTTAAATGAGGATGTGAGAAACTCTTTGGCAAACTGGTCAGTAATAAAATATAATAGAAATTATTTTTCCTTCACACTGTATTGACTGATAATAGCTTCCTTCAGATGCTCTCTTACTAGGTAATGTGAACATTCAAGGACAAATATTCTCATTAATAAAGATCCTTAGTGGTGAAATAAATATCAGACACTAAGGTATGGAAGCTAAGTGATTTTTCTGTGCAGTCCTGATTTAACTGTATTCTGTGGGGATCAGCTGCCTTCTACCTGCTGTAAAGTCCCTGTGTGGTAAGTGGGAGGGAAAAGTGCAGATAGAAAGTTTCACTTAATACAAATTAAAGAAAAGTCAAATTGGGGAATAGATAAATTTAAGACAATGAAAAGAAAAATTACATAATGTTCAGTTTTAACGTACCTTACAAAATACCAGTTGAAGTCTTTGACAGATGCTTATTTAGCCCCTTTAACAATTTTCTCCAGAAGTGTATTTCCAACTAACTCACATTTCTAAAATTTGCATTTAGTTTTTACTCCAGCCCGTGTTTTCCTGGCAACTTCCCAACTGTCCTCTGTCTTTTAGTCCCAGTAGGCTGCCCCTAATAAATCAGAAGGAGTCAATCAGGAGTCTGCGAAGATTGCATCGGGACCCAGAATCGTGGCTTCCATTCCTCCAGAGTGACATTAGATGCAGGACCAGAGTGAGAAAAGCCAATGAGGATGCCTGTTATCTCTGAAAACATTGCCCACTTTGGTTATGTACTACTTGCAAGATGGGAACAGTGAGACTGCTGCTCATAAACAATGTTCTGAGAGTGGCTGGTCCCAGCCAGTGTGCCTCAGTGTCCCAGGGTCCCTGTGTAGAGGGCACACTGAAAGACAGGATCAGATGGACCACACTTTCTCATTAGCTTGATTTCAAGTCCAGAAGTCACCTAAAAGGAGAAAATGTCTTGGCAATGCCGACTCCCTAATACTAGCCTGTCTCATTCTTTGTTCCCTGTGGCAGGCTGAATGCAAGCTGGAAATGCCCCAATGACTGTGGTCGATCAAATAAGGGGATTTTTTTCTTTCTTTCTTTCTTTTTTTTTTTTTTAACCTGGACTGCTGTGAAGTCAGTCGTGCTACCTGTACAAATGTGACCTTCAACCCTTTGTGTACCATATGTAAGCAGATGTGCACATAGCATGAGTTCTTTACACCAGCCAGAGGTTGTTAGACCCCGCTGATTAAAAGAGACAAGTTAGGAAAAGAAGCAAATGTGACTACGTAACTGGCTAATTCAGCAATATAACTTGCAAGCTAAGCAAAGGTTAGATAGCTTGGCAAAATGCAATCAGACTTGATAAAGTAAGGTCAAGAGAAACTTAAAGACAGAACATAAGGAAGGTTTGGAAAAGCCTGGTAAACCTTTCTTCTCTTAAATGCTATAGCCTTAAGAAGATGCTGATATACTCAGACTTTACAGACTCGGTCATAGAAATGTGCTCACATACAGGTATATTTATTTAAAAGCATTAGATGCATTAGTTGACTTTAGTGTGCTAGGAAAACGTGGGTTAACATTAATGAAGAAATATAAAGCATCAGGAAAAGAAACAGCAATTTGATTTCAAGGCTCATTCAAAAAATTCTTACTGGAGGCTTGCTAATAATGAACTTATACTGGACAGTGAAAAGAGGACAAAGATGAAAATGAAAAATACATCTTTCCTTAAAAGACTTCTCTGTATTGGGAGGCAGAAAGATAGATTCATAAACAATTGATGTAAGGTATAAAGTTGGGTTAGAGAGATGAGGTGAACCCCCAGGACGAGGTTTCGACAGGTAAGCATGGGCAGGCAGCGGAGATTATTAGCACATGCAATTCTGTCCCTTGAAGGACTTTGGCCACTGCATGTGGAGACTGATGTGGGTGATACTGACATCCAGTGAGTGGAGGGTGGAGGATAAGAGTGCTGCTAAAAATATACCTATGGTGCGCAGAATAGCCCACTGCAGCAAAAAGTTATAAGGCCTGAAATGTCAAGAATTCCACTGTTGAGAAACCTTGCTGTAGATCTGAGAGGAAGACAGAGCGTTTTGACAAACCGTTGAAGGGGCTGAACCCTTGTGATAGTTGCAAACAAATCACAAAGACTGGAATATAAGCCCCGTCGAAAAGGGCTTAGGAAGTGAAAATATTTGATCACTACCTTATATGGCTTTGGGTGGTCTATGGAGAAGCTGGAGTTCCAGATTTGGTTAGGCAAAAGAGTCACAGAAGCATGGGTGCTCTAAAATAATGTGGCTTGATAACAATCCAGAAGGAACTCTTGGGAAATGTACTGGACATGGAAAGAGGGGAGTTTGAAAGAGTGATTAAAAAGCTCAGACAAGAGATCTTATAAATCGAACTGAAATATAAATTTCATATAATTTCCTCCTTTCATATAATATTCCCCCCTCTGATTCTTTTTTCAAAATGTATATATTTCAAAACCATCATTAGGTGTAATGACACAAAAAAGGCAGCAAGGTGGATTTGGCCTGGGCTGTACACTAAAAAGTCTTAATTGAGAGAATCTAAACTGGATGAAGAAATGTCCTTAAGAAGTCCTTATTCTTTATAAATGTATATAGAAATATTAGGAAAGTTAATAACATAATGTTTGGAATGGAATTTGCTTCAGAAAAAGACAGAGTAAGAGACATAAATTGCAAAAGTTGCTGATGACTTGGTAATTGTGGAAAGTATACAAGGAGTATATGGGCTTAAAACTTTCTATTTTGTACTTTTGTACATTTACAGCTATTCACATGGCCAAAAGGAGTCTATCAAAATTGATGGAGGGTGGTGAAAATAATCAAATTATTTATACGCACATGTGTAAATCTGACTACTTTGAACTATTAATCTGTATAGTCAATGTACACTAATACAAAAAGTTGTAAAACAAAATAAAACCAAATGATGTGTGAGGAAGATGTAGATGTGGTTTTGTGGAACTACAGTGACCGGGATAAATTCTGAGAGATGATTTTTAGGGAATTTAATCCTAGAGGGTAGGTACCTACACAAGCCAAGATTTTACAATGGGCTACACACAATCTATGTCCTATAAACTATGTCCTCTGCAGTACAACTTGTACAGCATATCACTGTGCAGAACACTGTAGGCAAGAATAACTAAACATCCCTAAAGTTGAAACTCAATTCCTTAGTACAGCATACAACTCCTTTTGCAATATGGTCATGTATTATCTTTGCAAATTTTTGTCCTCCTGTCCTATTTCCATCTACCTTATGCATTAGAGTGAACTAACTTAGTGTACAGAATTTAAAGTCACAAAGCCCAATGGCAGCCAAACTGTGGCCCTCTTACTAGCTGTGTGACATCAGAAAAATTCCTCTGCCTCTCTGAATTCTAGAAAAACTCTTCAAAATGGAAAACAAAAGGTATTAGTACAGTGGCACCTTGGTTCACAAATGCTTTTATGCCCAATTTGGTTTACAAAGGAAGGCATTCTTTGTTTGCAAACCTTATATCCGGTGACAAACACGAGCGTGACCATTTTTTCCACACAAACACAAACATGGCCATCTTTTCAAAAACTGTGGAGAAAATGAAGTTTGTGAATCCCCGTACCACTGTATTTCATACAGTTGTCATAAATATTAAATGATACACCACACCAGAAGTGTTTGGTACTAAGTCTGACACCAACTGATTCCATTAATATAACTAACATTGTTAATAATTACACTTATTTAGGCTGATTAATCGAACAAAATTTTACTGAGTTCTTTTGCAATGCCAAGTACCATCCTTGGCTCATACCAGAATATTCACCATTCTACGCATGTATTATACAGTTTTATACAGTCATTGTATTGTTGAGAATCTCTTAGCACTATGGATTATCCTTCCTATTTGGTCTGGGAAATTCATTATTTTTACCCTGAAGCCAGAGTTGATGCTTCAATTTCAACTGCACGGCTGCCACCAGGGTTCTCATGGCTTCTTTCTCTATGGGACCTAAACATTCTGGTCAAGCCACAACTTCGGTAGTTACGAGCTGGCTTCTGGACGATGGCCTACATGTTGGCATTTTCCATAGGTCCAAGTCCCTCAAAGGAGTATCCATTTTTAATTTACTATCATGCCTTCACACCATAGAACTGGTCTGATTATAGAGAAGAGATTAAGTGTTCTTACTTATTTCAATACTGAGATAAGTCAATCACCAGTCTCAGACTGAGCTTGCCTGATCTGCAATGAGGTTCATTATAGAACTAGTCACAGCTAAGATGAGCAGGGAGGTGCCTACTCCAGTTAGGGGTATAGGAAGTTCACCCATCAGTTTAAACACATATGAAAATCCCTTGGACAGAAGAAAAGAGGAGGGAGGGTGAGAGAGGAGATCTCAAGTAAGTGGCCATCCTAGTCATCCAGTGCTAAAGCAAAGAAACTGAGATACTATTATTGCAGATAGGTACGTTAATTAGATATCTCATCTCATAGGCAGTTGGACAGGGCTGCCCTCAAGGAGCCAACACAACAAGGAGCCAACATGGAGGACAATCGAGACACATTCACTGAAGACTAGAATTGTAAAAGCAGAGAAATTACTATACCCTTGTGCTTCCCCTGGGGATAAATAGCAGTGATGGATATTTTAAATAGGTATAAATCACCTGGGTGGGGGCCAAGGTCTTAACTCAGCCTTTCCAGGAAATATCCCTGACCCCCACTCTTACTGAAAGTCCTTGTATGCTTGCCTCATGACTAGCTTCCCCATTTGACCCCCATTTAATCAATATTACTGGGTAACTGTACTTGTTATCTTACTGGTTGGCTGTGGTTTTGCCCCACCTCCGGCCCTCCTTGTAATTTTCCTTTGGGTCTTATATGTTGGTCCCTCTTTGTATCTGCCTCACCACATGGCTTGGCTGTATAAAATATCATTGAAAATTGCCTTGGGCAGGCAATCCACTTGGTGATCTCTCATTTGTCTCTCTTAGACAGAAACTTTCTTTCTCTCAATAAATTTGTCCTAGTCTTAACCTCGGATGTCCCTAGAATTCACTCTTCAATTTTAGAGAACATGAACTAGCTTTTCAGATATTTAGTAGGTTTGAGAGTTACATCTCTTGCCCCAATATCACTATGAATTCCAATCTCTTTGTTCAGATAAAGTCAAGCCAATATGGTTCACACAGATGAAGTTTTGTGATTTTTACTCACTCATTCATTGAATGCATGCATGTGTCACTGTGCCTCGCTCTATGAGAAGCTGCAGTTAGTTTTGTGTTCTTTTCATGTCATCATGTGATTTCCAGGCTTATAAGTAGATGTTTTCCTGAGGATATCTCTGGCAATAAAGGAAAGAGTTGGGGGTTATAGCATGGGCACAGGACAAGGGGACTGGGTGAAAAAAATTGGTGCCAGAAATGGTACTTGGCTGACGCACATTTTCTTCTGTGCTCTGATACCCAAATTATTTCTTGACTTGTTTTAAGATTCCTGCCATCTATATACTCTTTTCTCTCTAATAGTTAAATAAATAAATTTTCTTCAGGACTCATTCATGCTTTCTAATTTTTACATTTGGGTGGATTATGAAAGTCAGCAATTTATAACTGTAAGATCACAAGAAAAATTCGATTGGTGAAGATTTTTTTTTATTATTATTATTTTGGTACCGGGGATTAGACTCAGGTCCTTGAGCTTGAAGGGCAGGCAGCAGAACCATCAAACTAAATCCCGGACCCTCAAGAAAAATTTAACATACTATGACAGCTCTGAACGTTTTACCCATGGTGTAATGCAAGCTGACACATACATGTGCCTGCACTCGCGCGTGCACACACACACACTTATGAGCTCACACAGAGTTCTGTACTTGTTATGAAATGATTGCTTTCTAGTCGAGGATCCTTGATTTCCACATTAAGAACTACTAGCCTGGCATCTCCACGAAACTATTTCTGTTTGGATTTTTAAATTTAATTTAAAACAACTTTAATGAGGTCCAATGCATATACCACACAATTTACCCATTTTAATTTAAAAATCTAACTTCCCTTAATGTGTACACAGAGTTGTGTAACTGTTATTATAAGTGTGATGTAGAACATTAATATCTTAATCAGATGAAGAAACAGCAGAACTAATTGTAATCCTTACCTTGTTCTCCGTACCACCACCTCCACACAATCCTTTCTATGCCTTTTTACCACCCAATCCAACTTCAGGGCCTCAGACAATGACTTAATCTATTTCCATCTTTGCCTATTCTAAACAATTTTTTTTACAAAAAGATTCCACCTATCTAACTATAATTATATAGTCTTCTTGTTGTATGACTTTACTATATTGGCTTTTCTCAGAATATTTCTTTCCTGCTTCTTCTTCCAGTCCTAGGGTGTGACAGATTCAACTCTCTACTCTGTCTCCCTCAGTTTAGGACTACAAAGCAAAATTGTCAAGCTGCTGCAAGTTCACTCATGATAGTGTAGAGGTGGCGGAGAGAGGAGGAAAGATGGGGATCCCAGGCATGGCACAATGTATGTCTCCTGCCTGCCTTGCTGGGTTTTGCTTATTGAATTAGGACAAATTGGGACTTTCATAAACTGTGATATAAATCATTATCTCAAGTTAGCAGATGCAGTCGCACCAGGGTAGAGAACTGTTAATAACTCTGCTGGATTAGGACTGATTGGAACAATTTGAAACTTGTTTCTCTCAGCTTGATCAGCCGCATTGTAACCACAGCAATTATCCCATTTCACTTTCAATGGCTCAGCACAGACATGTTGCTGCTTTATATCCATCCTTCTTAATGAAGCCAGCTCAGACTTGTGTTCCTATTTCTCAGAGCTATCTTTGCAAACAATAAAAAAAAGAAAAAAACTCCACCCCTTGGGGTACAACATAGATATTTGCAAGGCTGAGATCTCTAAATGGATAAACATAACACATGCGTTGGTTGTTGCCTGTGTTTCTTTATTCATTTTACTCTTTCATATTTGAGTAGTTGCCATTTGTCAAACAAATGTGTTAGTTTGAGAGACCAGGTAGAATTGGATTATACAGCATAGTGTTTGCATGTATCTTTGCATCTATCCTGATGGACTGTAATTTTGGGAGTATTTGTACCTTTTGGAGGACAAGAAATATCCTTTAATAATGATAATGAATGCAATGTATTGGCTTTCTACAATGATCCATGCAATGTGTTCACCTAACAAATCTGTGTCCAGAAAGCACAAGGGGATGGATGTCACAGATCTGGAAAGGAGATTGTAGGAGTGAGCACAATCTTTATATCGAAGTGATTAGTAAAGACTACATGGAGTTAGAAGTATTTAGCAGCCCCTTAAAGGATAAACTAGGCATAATTTGATAGGAAAAGATAATGAAGAAATTATACTTCACACAGATGGAAGGGCATGCTTCCAAGATACCCTGCATTACCTTTAGGAAAGCTAGATGAAATATTAGGGGGCCAGACTGTGTGGAAAATTGCAAATAGGGATCCCTTTTAAAATCTTAGACCTCTTAAGGAGCTATAAATAAAAAATTAAACTTGTATTTAACCTCTAGTATATGTGTGGCCCTCAAGTCTCATTAGGTCCAAGACCTCTACTTTTGTAAGTGTTCAATAAAAAAAAAAAAAGATTTTTATAGTACTTTAAATAAATGCAAATGTAAATTAAGGCTCAGTATCTTAATGGATTCTTGTTGAACTGAGGGAATGAAATTGGTCTTGTATTATAAATTTATAAGAAATGTAAATAAAGAGACTAATAAAGAATAGTTAATTACTTTTCTGCTCATTTCCACATTTTATCTGCCAAATTCTTTGTTAAGAGAATTTCCATAAAGAGAGAAAAGCTATCATATGTCTCTTCTAAATCAAGCAGATCTCGTTTTGATTTAACATCACAGTGTCACTTAGAAAATGTTTTACAATTCATAGTATCTTTCCATAGGAAATACATATATCTATATCTCCTGACTTTGAAAAGAAAGAAAATTTACTTAAAAATTGAAGTCCTTATTCTACTAGATTTCATTCCTTTTGCTCATTTCCAGTCTCACTCTAAAGACAGCAATGTTCTAATTTTGGATTCCAGCAATTTTTCCTTATAGCTACTATATCTATTTTAAGGTATACAGAGTGCCACTTTCATTTACTCCAGGAAATTTTTTATCTGTATCCATGCTGATAGGTATAAGTGTATTCTATTTATATTTGTTGTTTCATGACACTTCACTGGGTAAAGTTGGTTTTCTGTGGAACTTTGTGGGCATGTGCTGCCTCCAGCAGAGTGAAAGCTCAATGAGAGTCTTTGAGAAATTTATTTTCAGCAAAAGACAGCATAATAATAATAATGAAAAAAAATTAGAGTGAACACTTTTAGTATGTACACGACATGCCAGGCTCTTAGCAAAGTACTGACTAAGAATTAATCATGCACAGTATCTCTATGCACAGTGCTGTGTATAACACTGGCTACTCTGTAGAGCTTCTGTACCCATGTGCTGAATGAGTTAACAGGTCCTGTGGAAAACAAGAAACCCATTAAATATGGGAACTGTGGGGAAAGGAGATGGTATTCAAGGTTCAACTTTCACAATATTTCTTACCTTTTTGAAGGGATATTTGGGGTATAATAGCTTGGCCATGTCAGATGCAAGAAAAATAAATGAAAATACAGAGCTAAATAGAATTTATGGGACAGGGAAAATGAAAGGTTGGGACTGACCAACATATAAGAAGGCCTGTAATTTTTCTACCAGTTTGCTTTGGTGACACCTGGTGGTTTGACTCCTTATCTACTGTTCATGAGATAAAATTAGCTGACCTCTCCTTATATGCTTGTCACAAATGTTTTGCCAATAACACTAGTAATAAAAATGAAAATTAAAAAATAATAATGTAAAGCATTTAATCTTCACACAATAGTGCAAGTGGAAAATCTGTAAATTAAAAATCTATAGTTTAAACTAATCTCTTAATATCTGGCCTTCTATTGCTGACTAATGTCACCCACCCCATACTTACCCATTCTTGGCCAGGATGTGACTAATGACAGAGGGTCGATGGCCTCCAAGACAATCCTTTCTAGCAATGACCCTTTTAGGATACACATGATATTCCAGGCAGTGAGCAAAGTGATATCCATGAACATATATCTCAGTGTTTTATGAATATAAATAAAGAATAGTTTCCATAAATAGAAAATGTAGAAATACTAGGATCATTCCTATTTTATAAAAGAAGAAATCTAAATATAGGAAAACCAACTCGTTCACACAGCAACAGTGTCAGTCAAAGACAGAGCTGCAATTCAAGTCTTGTCCTGACCACCATGATACAGGAAGCCCCAGAGGAGAGGGGGCCTGCCTGTAGCAATCTTGCAGAGATCACACTTTTGGATATCAGTCAAACTCTAATTTTTCATGCTCGTGTTAACACTGACATATTTGAAGATCGTTTCCTTTGACCATCAATGCTATCTTCTTCCTGCTTGTCTAAAATTTCTTTGTTTCTTCAGTGACTTCTTTTCAGATCATTTTTTCCTCATTAAGTTTATTGGTACTTTTTAGGTATACAGTAAAATTATATTCATCATTGGGATCTTGTACCTTTACATGATGTATCTGTGTTATTTTTTCCCCATAACTCTGCCCTCCCTTCACCTGCTCCACCCTTCCCTATTTGCAAAGACTTTGTTTCCATTTTTTTCTTTACTCTATTTTTTCTTTCCCCTACCCCTTCCACTTCCCCCCGCCTTTAGCCCTTTTCTTGCTATGTCTCACTATCAATTATACAATTTGAATTAGCTTTGCGTAGGATTTAAAAATGAACTGGGTCAGAATAGAATTTAATCAAGCCTGATTAAGAGCTGAAATATCCCAGTCAGTGTGTTCTATTGGGCACCTTGGATCCTGGTAACACATTTTATCTACTGCTGTCATAGCATTTCTGCAACAACCCTGTCTGTCCTAAGTTTCCATCTCAGAGTAATTGCTGGTTGTCCCTTCCTGCTTGAGGTAGGAAGTCTACCTTTCTGAAACTCATTCCATTAAAGCAAGTCATAGGAAATTGCCATAGCAGTCACTGAGTCCTCTGGGGCTGAGAGGATGTGATTAGGGGTCATTATGCCCAAAGTTATGGGCTGAGATCACATCCGTGTACAGGTCACCATGGAAACAGAGCTGAAACGGCCTGTGCTTTTGCCCCCACCTGAACCTCTCCCTGAGAAGCTGATTGAAGAGGAGGCTTTGGACGGTGCTCAAAAGTGTAAGGACCCATTAAATGACCTTGTATTTGGCAGCTGAGGCCCCCAGGTGAAGGCTGCAGTGCAACGTATAGAGGAATAATAATTTACAAAGGTGGGAAGCCTCATGGCATTATAAGGTATGGTGCTGATTACCCTGCAAACTGGAGTAAGGTAGACATTAATTAAAAAAATGTCAATGTCCAAATTACTGGAATTATGTTGATCCACTAAAAGTATATCCGGATAAAATCATATGTATTTATAGAATATTAAAGAAGAGGTTCAATACTGAGCAAGGGCAAATGGAAATCTGTCCATGAGTCTCATGTGGTCTTTCATTTAGTCAACTTTAAAAGCCTATTAGGAAAATCAAAGGAACATATACTTCTCAGCCAGTAGAACTTGCGTTCAAATTGAGCTTTAGTAATCACCAAGTCTACTAAATGCTGGAGGCCTCAGCTTCTTACTTGACAAATGGGGATAACTAAGTAAGCAATTTTTAAGCAGGCGTAATAAAATTATGATTTTGAGTGAACAATTATTGAGAGATTTCTTCTGCGGAAGGACACAGTGACTACATTATCTCTATAACACCAAATTCTATTTTAACATATTAGCTAAGAAACCTTCAACAAGTCATGTACTCTTTTCTAACCTGTTATTTATCAGATGTGGACAATCTCCCTGAAGGAGGTAACAGTGATTTCACAAGACATTTCTTATCAAGAGAAAATCACTGTGCATTGAGTAGGTAAGCTACTAAATACAAGAGTGCAATTACTTTCAGTTAAATTTTATAAGCCAGGTATCATGGTGAATTCCTGTAATCCCAACATTCTGGGAGGCTGAGGCATGAGGTTCACAAGTTAGAAAACTTATTATTTTTTGAAAGAATGTACAAAATAAGAATTTAAAACTTCTGGATAAGTGCCTCAGTATGACAGCCTTGTGTTCAATACCTAAAAGACAACCTACAATGTGGGAGAAACATTTTACCAGCTTTTCCTCAGATAAAGGTCTACTATCTAGAATATATAAAGAACTAAAAAAGTCAGACCCTCAAATATAAAGACCCAGTTCAAAAATGGGTATCTATAATGAATAGACATTTCTCAGACAAAGAAGTAAAAGCAGCAGATAAACATAAACATATGAAAAATGTTCAACATCACGGGTCATTTGAGAGATGTAGATGAAAATAACACTGAGATTCCACCTCACCCGAGAAAGAACTGCTACTATCATGAAATCAACCAAAAAAATGCTGGCAGGTTTGTGGGGAGAAAGGATTCCTTCTCCATTGTTGGTGAGAGTGTAGACTGGTGCAACCACTGTGGAAATCAATATAGAGATACCTCAAACAACTAGGCTTAGAGGTTCCATTTGACCCAACTAATTCTCTGCTGGGTATCTTCCCAAAATAATTATAAGATTCATACCACAGTTATATATGCACTCATGTTTATAGTTTGTACTAACTAAAACTAGGAAGCAGCCCAAGTGCCCATCAAATGGAGACTGACTAAAGATGTGTGTGGTTTTTTTTTTTAATAAAATGGAGTACGACTCAGCCATAAACAATGAGAAACTAGAGACACTTATAGCTAAATGAATACACATTGAGGCCATACACTTACATGAAATAAATAGGACACATGTTCAAATACTGAATAATTTCTCTGGTGAGAAAAGCTGCAAGTATAAATAGGATCAAAATGTATAATTACTATTGTGTAATAGGAAGAAAATGTTTAAAGGATTAGGGGATGTAGGAGAGGTAGGGGATAGGAAAGAAGGGAAAAGAAAAACATGGGAAAGGAAAAAATGGAAAAAAAAAGTCTTTGTAAATAGGCAAGGGTGGAGTGGGTGAAGGGAAGGCAGGGCAATGGGGAAAAATGAGAACCAAGACCTGTCATGTAAAGGTACAAGATCCCAGTGATGAATGTAACGGTACTGTGTACCTAAAATGAACCCATAAACTTAGTGGAAAAAATGTGGTAACCAAGCTACACATAAACTCAACTCGCCCTAGTGGTCAATGGTAAATAACTTTAAGGATGTCAGTTAACCTGTGGAACTGAAGCAAACTGTAAAACAAGGTACTTAACTGTAAATGGGACTGTCGCGAGCCGCGACGTCAGGATCCTGCCAGCAGGTCCTAACCCTGAAAGCATGAGGACAGAGAGACGGGAGGCACTTTTCTTCTCATGTTACTTACTTGCTTTATTACCGAACCTCTCCTTTTATACTCTCCAGCTGCGCGGCTGTTCGAGAGTGCCGCCCACACATTCCGGAAGGAAACCCCTTAAACCGTTACATTTGCACCAGTAAACCGTTCAACAGATCAGACCACCAGTAAACCGTTCAACAGATCAGACCACCAGTTGAACTAGCCCGTTGCTATGGGCGACGGCACGTCCACACTGCTAGGGTGAATCACAGGTCAGTATGGCTGTGCTCTCCATATGGGACGGCCAGGGAAAGCCCCCTTGAAGTGAGGTGGCTATTTGTCCATCTGATATAAATTAAATCTGAAAGGAAGCAAATGTCATCGTCCTTAAGAAAGATAGAGCAGTGGCCCTGTGTGAGCAGAAGAGCATTAGAAGGAGGTGGGGGAGTTGACGAAAGAAGAATGGGAGGGATCGTGTCCACTAACAACAGAAAAAGAGAAAGGGAGACCGGAAGGAAAGAGGAAGAAGGAAGGAAGGAAGGAAGGAAGGAGGGAAATACAAAAGCTAAAGAATATCCTCTAGTGATCAGACATTAATAGAGCTTTTGAGCCCAAATAAATACACCTGGGTATTGCTGAGTGAAAAGGGAAACAGAGATCAGTTTGTAAATAGACTGCCAGGAGCTCCGCTACTTTCCAAAGCACCGCTACTTTGCATTCAGAGGCAGAAAGCAGACACTGTGAAGCGCAAACACACTCAAGGAACACAGTCCACACAATTCGCCATCACTTCTTTGTAAAGCTTTTTTATCCATTTATGCAATCACATGTTGACCTCAATGTAAAATTTTTATAAAAAGAGGAAGAAAAAAAACACAGGTGAATAAAAGTGGACACTGTTAGAACCTTTCTAAGGCGGGGTAGCACAATTAGCAAAATGTGCGGTGGAGTCACAGTGTAACAGGAGACTGACAGAGTAAAAAAGGAAAGCAGGACGTCTGGAACTGAGCCTCCAGGACTGCAGCCAGAAACCGCAGGTGTTGCTCAACACCTGACATGTAGCACACGGGGCTAAGAAAGGCTCTATGTGTAAAATTCACACCAGACACTGCCGGCTCAGTAGGAAAAAGACTCTAGAAGATGGTAATCATTTTGTGTTGATTATATGTTGAAATGATGGTATTTTGAGTAGATGGGGCTAAAAAATATGCTATTAAAATGCATAAATAACACACTTCTGAAAGATGAAATCAGATAAACAAAATCATAAATGCTGCCAAAGTAATTGGAAATGAAGAAGCCATGGGAACAGGAGCAGGGGAGAACACAGAATCCAATCCAGTACACAATTAAAATGAAACAACTGTGAGAACTGTGGTGCCAGGCCGAGTGGGTAAACGGTGTTAACTTTGCTAATAATAGCACATGAGAAAAGAGGATTGGTGAGAGAGAGAACATGATGGTGCTCGTTTGTTCACGGCAAGTCAATGAATTGTTCTAAAATGGAAATAGATGGTTCCAAATACGTTAATAACTTAAAATGTTTTATTTTTAATTCTACAATATTTCACATACTAATGTATCTTTTCAGTACAGATTATTTGACTTTCATCAACTATCTTGTGCTACTTCTGCACATTTGTTTATTAGTAGCAAATTCAAGGTAAAATTGCATTTAATGAACTAAACTGTATTTTAAAGCAGCTCTGCGGGATTCTATGTGAAGCGAAACAAGCCAGACATAGAAAGCCAAATGCTTCCTGATGTCACATATGTGTTAAATTTTACAATGTTGAACGCATACAAGCAGGTAATATAATAATTATTTCCAGAGGCTCGAAATTCAGGGGGTTGGGAAGATATTGGTCAAAGGATACACATCTTCAATTAATAGGAATGGATTCAGGGGTCCATTATTTATCATGGCGACTATAACTAGTAACAATATATTGTGTACTTAAAGAATGTTGTGAGAATGAAATTTTAGTTTCCTTATCACAAATGACGTGTTATTTATTAGCTCGTATACATTTGAAACTGTGCTGTGATGTATGCAAACACCAGGACTTCATGAAGGGCACTTATAAATTATTAACTATATGATAAATAAAATAGCTTTTATAATAGTATCACATTTTTTATCTCCCTAGTTATCAATTTACCTCTGTATATCCCTTAGACCAGAATATATACATATAGATATACATATATGTATCTATATCTATCTCCATACTCTCCTGAGAGGGATATCATAGTGATATAACCAACAAATAATTATTTCAGTTTTTGCTAAATGGTAGGACTTTAGGCAATTTACCACTTTCCACTTTGAATGCATTTGTATTACTTGTTTTTAATGCAATGATGACTTCCTCACTTAATCATTATTGTTGTAAAGCATAGGCCACTTGTTTAAAGGGGCAATCTGGCTGCTATATGGAAAATAGACTGTAAAGTTAGTATAAGGTTGATAAACAGTAACCAGGGAGAAGTAACAGAAAGTGTAAAGCAAACATACACTCACATTTGTTAGAATCCTTAGTGCAACAGAGTAGGTTTCACTAAAGAATTAAGATAATTCAAGCCGGGCTGGTGGCTCAGGCCTGTAATCCCAGCACTCAGGAGGCTGAGGCAGGAGGATCGCTGGGAGTTCAAGACCAGCCTGGACTATATAGTGAGTTCCAGGTCAGTCTCACCTGCATAGTGAGACCCTGTCTCAAAAAAACAAAAAAGAAACAAAAAAAAATTAAGAGAATTCAGAAACAAAACGATTCAAATCAGTGTTTTAAAAATAATTTTTAAAGAATTCAGGAGTTGGATTGGTGAAAAGTTTTGGAGAATCTCTATAAAGTCATACAAATATCAAAGATATACAAAACAAGGAAGAAAAAAATTTCTCCAAGGATGGAGAGGGATAGTGTGATAGTAATAGAAAGAGAAAACACAGAAAAGGTAAATAAATACAGTTATACATATATATGCATATAAATATGTATGGATTATAAAATGAGGTGTGATCCCAAAACGTATACAATGAATATTTAGATTTAAAAATATTATAGTAAAATCACATTGGCATTATTACCCCTAAAAACTCTCCCTGAGCTTGAACACCTGCATCCATTCTTCCTGTGGCTTTCTGAAGCCATTCTGGGAATTTCTTTTTCTTTTTATTTCAACAGCTGCCTGAGTGTCCTGAGTAGATGTAAAACGCTCCTGACAGTTTATAGCTAACAAAATATTATGGTGCGTCCTCCTTCTCTTCTTATTCACAGAATCTGGCACCCTGGAATTCTTGGCTCCAACTCAAATTGAAAATGACAATGAAAAATGTGAGGGTTTAGAACCAGAATATTCCCCTAAAGCCACACCTGCTTACAGGTAGGGCTTTATGAAGGTGACTGGGTCACAGGACGCTGTGCTCACCTGGAAATTCATCCACCAGGGAGTTCAGCAGCTGAGCGTGGTGGTGGGAAGTGGGGCCTGGTGAGAGGAGCTGGGTCCCTGGAACTGTGGCCTGCAGTGGTATACGTCAGTCTTCTGCTTCTCCCTTCTCTCTCTGCTTCTCGGCCCCTACGGTATGAGTAGATGGATTCCTTTCATCGTGCGCTTCTTGCCGCGAAGTCAGCAGACTATGGAATGAAAACGAGAGCCTAAGTAAGCCTCCCCTCCTTTAGTTTATGGTAGTCGAGTACGGTGTCTCAGCAGCTAAGAAGGGAGTAAATGTTCTGAATCATTTCAGGGCATGGAAGCAGCCAGGGCAGCGCAAAGAGAGACACTCGTGACAGAGGATTTCCAGAGATGCTCAAAAAGTGGAGAGAAAAATAAAGTAAGTGTGTTTGAAGTATAGGTGAGCATTTTGAGGGGCATTAATGGCAATGTGAACTTACCAGTAACATGCTTTTTTAAAAATTTCAACATTTACCCTATTTGTTAATTTCAAATTATGTATGAAATGCCATTTGAACTTAAATTGAAGATTTCCATCAGATTTTAAATCTCAAAGAGAACAAATTCCCCTATTAAAATACAAAACCCAGAGAAAAAAGGGAATGCCTCTAAGTTCAAAAAGAAAAGCATTATTGGTGAATAGGAAAAAAATAAGAACTAAAGTACATCATGTAGTGGTACGAGATCCCAATGATGAATGTAACTATATCGTATACCTAAAATGTACCAATAAAAATGGGGGAAAAAAAGAGAAAATCACTATCACTCTGTCCAGTGTATTCTCATCATTATATACAGTGACATTTGTCTGGATCACCTCTTAAACATAGAAATTAGAATTCTACTGTGCATCCCTGAAAAGCTATTGGAAACCTCTGCAGTAGACTCCAGCCACCTTCCAAGTGTACGAGGCAGGCCTGAGGGGGAAAAAAAACCTAAAAGACAGAACTAAGACAGACAGATGGCTGGACACCAGGCTGACAAATGTCGTGCAACTGACAAAGACACCGATCTGTCCAAGTCACTAATTTTTTTATTACTAATCAATTGGGATAAAGTCGAGCTACAGGTGAAGATATGCAATCATGCAGTTTCTATGGAAACTAATGCAAAGAACTTTCAAATTAGGAACCGAATACACAAACTATATGGATGCATTTAGAACATTATCCTTCTACTGAGGAGGTTTTAATTGTGGGAATGGAATTTGGGTGCAATTTACTCTGACCTCAGCACCTAGACTTTGGCTAGACTCACTTCAATAAACAAGCCCATTGTGGGGTGAACTCTTCACAGCCTGAACTGGGTATGGCCTGCTCTGGGGCATAATGAGTATTGCAGTCTCCCTCAGAATACTATAGAAGAATTTCATCATGGATCAAAAAAGAATAGAAACATTTTTAAACATATAAGATCTCAACAATTTATCTCTGGAAATATGCAAGAATATACTAAAAGATATTCATCAGTAATATAAAACTATAAATCAACAAAGAGGAGATGCAGAAGATCCAACTCAGAAAAGATGATAATAATGGCATTTTAAGTATGATGAAAGACATTCCCAGAAGAGAGTTGTGAATTTGGATGCATAAAGGACCAGAAGGAAGTGTTTCTCAGAATATAAACGCTTACTGCAGGGTCTGACTGCAACAAAGGAAGTTCTGGGGTTGGTTTTGTTGAGAAACTTGTAAATAAAAGAACTTCTGAAAGCGAATCAAATGGAAGCAATAAAACTATTATCAACTCCAGGAGGGGGAAAAAGGAAACAAAATATAATCACAAGGCTATAGTTTGAATGTGTTTCCTCCAAAATTCATGTTGAAACTTAATTCTCAAAGCAATAGTATTAAAATGTGGGGCCCTTAGGAGGGGATTGAGCCCTGCAGGCCTTACCTCACATAGATTTCTGACTTGCAAAAGGGCTAGAGAGAGTGAGCCTTACTTATTTTGTGTTTTCCTTCCTTCCAGAATATGAGGACACAGTGTTACTGCCCACTAGGGACTCAGCATCCCAGACCCAATACTGGAATCAGAGAGATGGTACATAGTGGACCCTGAGTCTGCAGACACTTTGATTCTAGACTGCCTCAACTCTAAAACAACAAGAAATAAACTTCTGTTAGTTCAGGTGTTGTATTATAGCTGTCCAAAAGACTAAGAAAATTAAGAAACTACATGGCTCACCTGTGAACACTATTATATAATCAAATTATATTAAATGCTTGTATTTAATGCAGCTATATGTGGTAAGTAATGGTGGAAAATATATGTGCAGTTGTCAGAGTATGAATGAGGGGGACTTATGAGTGTTTTAAGAGTTTAATGTTCAATTTAGTAAAAATTTAGTAGCATTTATGAAAGTGAAACTTAAGACATGTTGAATTTATTATTTTGTGATTAATGTAGCTAATAAGACAAAACTGAAGTGTGTGTGTGTGTGTGTGTGTGTGTGTGTGTGCGTGCGTGCGTGTGTGTGTAGAAAGTAAGTCATCTGCAGATGGGTGCGATGACACACTCCTGTAATCTTAGAATCCAGGACTCTGGAAGACTAAGGCAAGAGTATAACAAGTTTGAGCACAGCATAGGTAATTTAGCTCATTAACAAGACCCTGCCTCCAAATGAAACATAAAAATGATGGAGATGTAGCTCACTGTGAGGGTACTGGGTTCAATCCCCCATAAGACCATACCATACCTGATGAAAGGAGTCCCTAAAGGCAGGTATCAGGAAAAAACCCTGACAAGACATGCAACATAGAACTTAATTTTCTTTTTAAAATGATGGAAAGTAGCACAGACTGGTGAGGAGTGCTGGAGCAGCATGGAGCTAGGCTGCTACCCCACACTCAGAGCCCTAGGGCCTTCAATCAGTGCAGACCAGCAAGGAGTGGAGCCGAATGGGGGCACCACATTATCCCAGTGCCCCCCTTCACCACCTCTGGCCTCCTGGTTGTGCTGGCACCTGGATTCACACCGCAGAGACACAGGGGATCATAAAGGCCATTGTACTAATCTCCAGAAGATAGAGTCGAAGCAAACAACAGAAAGAGGGCCTCTCTAAGGCTCCCTGATGCTAGATGAAGCCCACTGGAAAAGTGAAGAGAATCTCTGCAATAAGGGCACACCAGACCACCATGGTTGGTAAGTTGGAGGAATCACCACCTCTCGTTGGAACCTGGACTATTCTCAGGGGAAGGGCAGCTGGAACTTGCAACAGAACCTTGCAGAGTTCAACCCTGTAGGAGGTCAGAGAGTTCAAACACAGCCTTGCAGCCAGAAATCAGCCTGAATCTCAGGGTTCTGCTGCAGGCTTGCTGAGACTAATTGACTTAGATCTGCACAATGCTGCCCACAAGGTCTGTTGTGACAGAAGGGACATACCCTGAAGGAGGCCCTTCATTTTTATTTTTATTAAAAGTTTTTTATTTTCCTCTCATTTTTAATTTTTATCTTTTCCAATTTTCAAATTCTTTTTTCCTTTTTTCTTTTTCTCTTTCCCTTTCAATCTCTCACTGTCCCACATTGTTCTTCATCTCCCTTTTAGTTCCTATTCTTGCTCTAATTCAGATTTCTTCTTTCTTTTTCTTCTGTCTTTTTCCTTCTCTCAATTGTCATCAATTTCAAAAGAAAGGGAATACAGTTTAGCTTCTTTATTGCTGTTTGTGAGTTCTATTCCTGTCTTTGTTTTTTCATTCTGTCTTTCCCTTTTGACTTCAACAGCTTCCTAGAGTTTACATGATCTTCCTGTGTCCTCTGGCCTCACTTTAAACCTTCTCCTATCCTTCTACCTATCTATCCTTTTCTTCCCAACTTCTTCTAAATCCCCATCCTGAAGGGTAAAGTTGCCATATTGAAGAGTTTATTCACTATAAACATAATTTGGGCTGGTTCTCAATTTTGACTTAATTCACAAGGTTAAAAATGATAGATTAATAGCTACCACAAATTGTCAATTTTAAATTGTGCTCGATGCTATTGTGTTGCTGATTATGTCACTTGGGGTAAGATCTTGTAATTGATCTAATCAGCTGTCCTTCCTGGTATTATGAAAATGAGAGTGTCTGTAAGTCATTAGAGACTCAAAACCTAAGGACCAGCTATATCTGGAAGATATAAGTATTAACCCAAGAATTAAACCAAGGACAGTACCAACAACAAAAATAAAAATGAGAAAACATTTAAGTAAGGCACAAACACAGACTTCCAGCTCAGCAAGGCAAATTCTAAGGGAAATGAGGTGGAAAAGTCTGACAATCAACCTGTTCAGGGCATTCTGAATTGATAGCATAGGAAGTAACAAAACAGATGATTGAGGCTCTAGAAAAATTCAAAAGAGAAATAATTTCCTAGATAACTTCAGGATGGTGAGCAGAATGAAAGATATGATTAGAGAATCTAGAACAGAAACAGAAAAAAAGTACATGAGTTCAGGACCATGATAGAAGCCATGAATGTCCAGTACAGGAAAGAAATGGAAACCTTGAATCCCTAACATAAGAAAGAAATGGAATCTATGAAACAGATTCAAACAGATATTCAGGAGATTAAAAACTGTATTGAAAGTATGTACAATAGACTAAACAATTCTGAAGACAGAGTATCAGATATAGAAAAAGGAATGGCGGAAAGTGACCATGAAAAGAGAGATCTCTTAAAAACAGTAAAGGACCATGAGAAATCAATCCAACACCTCCTAGATGATGCAAAGAAGAATAATATACTAGATAATGTGAAATATGAAGAGGAGGGATAAAGATGAAGGGGAAAAGAGGCAGGGGGAAAGGAAAGAAAGGAATCAAATTAATATGAGAAAATGAATATCAGTGCAAATAAGGCTTTGTAGATAGGGAGGGAAGGAGGGGTTGAAGGGAGTGCAGGGGAATGGGGAAAATAAAAACCAAGACTGATTATGTGAAGGTACAAATTTCCAACAAGGAATGTCATTATATTGTATACATTAAATGAACCAATAAAATTAATTTTAAAAAGACTTATAGTAGTCCATGAAAAAGCAGGAGAAAGTACAAATGACAAAACTTCCCAAACAGAGCAGAAGAATTTGATATACAGATAAGTAGGCATATAGGACTCCATCTAGCCATGATCAAAAAAATCTAAGCCTACACATATAAAAATCAAGATCCCAGAAACTCAATAGAAGAATAATATACTACATGCAGTTAGAGAAAATAAACAAATCACATTCAAAGGAAAGCCCACTGAATCACAGCAGACTTTTCAACAAAAACTCTCAAGTCAAGGAGGGCTTGGAGTTAGGTATTTCAAACCTTAAAAGAAAACAAGCTCCAACCTAGACTGCTGTATCCTACAAAACTATCTTTCAAAATTGACAGGAAATAAGATACTTCCATGAGAGAGAACACCACACAGGAGAAACTTCATGAATACTAAACCAGCACTCCAAACAATTATAAACAATATCCTTGAAAAATACAATGGAGGGAACATCTCCATGAGGCCCAACAGATAAAATCTATTAGGTTTAAAAAATTAGGTGAAGAGGGGGAAAAACTAAAAAGGGACAACAACAGGGCACTAATATTACAATGGTAAGTCAATACATATCAGTTACAACCATCAATGTTAATGGCTTCAATTCACCAATTAAAAGAAACAGACTGGAAGAATGGATTAAGAAGTAAAATCCAACAATATGCTGTAAACAAGAATGCACCTAGTTCAAAAAGAAACTCATAGACTGAAAGTAAAGGATGGAAAACAGTTCTCCATGTGACAGGAACACAGAAAAAAGCTGGGATATCCATCTTATTTGCAGAAAAAGTAAATTTCAAATCAAAGCTAATGAAGAGAAAAAAGTTCTCTACATCCCAGTAAAGGAAATAATCCAAGAGCAAGAGATGGCAATCATAAATATATACACACACCAAATACTAATGCTTCCAACTATAACAAAACAAATATTAATGGACACAAAACACCAAATAAGCACTAATACAATTGTAGTGGGGACCTCAATACCCCACTGTCACAAACAGAAAAGTCATCTAGACAAAAAATCAACAACAAAATACTAGAACTGAAACAAGCTTTTGAAAAAATTGACTTAATAGACATCTACAGAGTGTTCCACCCCACAAAATCAGAATATACATTCTTTTCAGCTGCATGGGTCATCCTCGAAAATAGAACACATACTAGCACATAGAACATTTTTCAATAAATGCGAAGGAATTGAAGTTATCCGATGTATATTATCAGACAGTAGTGCAATTAAACTGGAGATAATAGCGTAAGAAACCACAATAACTTCCCTAACACATGAAAATTGAATAACATTCTCATGAACAACTAATGGTTCACAGAGGAAAATAAAGAAGAAATTAGGCAGTATTTACAAATAAATGATAATGCCAATACAACATACAGGAACCTATGGGCGAAAATGAAAGCAGTTCTATGAGTGAAATTCATAGCAGTGAATGCCCATACTAGGAAAACAGAAAGAGCTCAAATAAACAACCTAATACTCAATCTTAAGATCCTAGAAAAAGAAGAGCAAGAAAGACCCAAAGCTTGTACAGGGGAGGAAATTATAAAGATCAGAGCAGAATTCAATGCAGTGGAGACTGAGACAACAATACAAAAAAAAAAATCAATGAATCAAAGAGTTGGTTTTTCAAAAGACTAAATCAAATCAATAAATACTTAGCTAATCTTGTCCAAGAAAAAAAAGGAAAGAAAAGGCTGAAATTTATGCAATTAGGAATGAAAAAGGTGAACTCACAATAGGTCCTGAAAAAGTCCAGAAAATCATCTATTCCTATTTTGAGAACTTGTACTGTAATAAAATGAAAAACACAGAAGAAATGGACAGATCTCTAGATATATATGAATTGCCAAATTTGAACAAAGAAGATAAAAAATTCTTAACATCCCAGTTACAACCAGTGAAATAGAACATGTAATTAAAAATTTATGAACAAAGAAAAGCTCAGGTCCTGATGGCTTCACTGCTCAATTCTATAAGACATTTAAAGAATAACTATTGCCACAATTCTTTAAAATTTTCAATGAAATTGAAAAGTAAGCAATACTTCTAAATTCATTCCTGGAAGCAAGTGTTACTTTGATTCCAAAACCAGGAAAAGACCCAAACAAAAAAGAGAACTACAGGCCAATCTCCCTAATGAACATAGATGCAAAAATTCTCAATAAGATACTGGCAAAAAAAATGCAGAAGATCATCAAGAAGATCATGCACCCT